GACTGTCTCTGTCTGCCTGTCTGTCTGTCTGCCTGCCTGCCTGTCTGTCTTTCTGTCTTTCAGTTGTATGTCTGTCTCTGACTGTCTGTGAATGTCTCTGTCTGTCTGTCTGTCTGTCTGCCTGCCTGTCTGCCTGCCTGCCTGTCTGTCTGTCTGTCTTTTGTCTGTCTGTCTCTGACTGTCTGTGACTGTCTCTGTCTGTCTGTCTGTCTGCCTGTCTGCCTGTCTGCCTGCCTGCCTGTCTGTCTGTCTGACTCTCTGTCTGTCTGTCTTTCAGTTGTCTGTCTGTCTCTGAGTGTCTGTGACTGTCTCTGTCTGTCTGTCTGTCTGTCTGTCTGTCTGCCTGCCTGCCTGCCAGTCTGTCTGCCTGCCTGCCTGTCTGTCTGCCTGCCTGTCTGTCTGCCTACATTCATTCATAAAAGTCCTCCTCTGTGCTCTCCCTGCCTCCTGGTTATTTACACCCACGGATGAATCCTGTGTTGTCATGGAGGCCGCGCCTGCGCAGTAGAGTGTGTGAAAGCGTGAATCATCGATGCAAAGACAGGGTTGGAAGGAAAGGGGGTGGGGGGGACTGTAGAGTGATGGGATCCCGGCTGAGGAACAGCACCGAGTGATCCCTCTCCGGGCTGCTAATGACAGGTAAATATGAGACTTTAGTGTAGAAATGATTTGCCCGTGCAGACATGATGCTGTTGGAGTGAAGCTGGATTGTTGTTGTTGTTGGATCATAATGTTTTTGATTACAAATCGGAGTAAACATCTGGAAGTAAGTTTCATATAATGCAGCTTTAAGCTTTGTGTTGTAATTCAGATATTCCTGTAGATGTTTGTGAGCATTTCGGGCGTTGATCTATAATCAATTTAAGTTCAACTTTCCTCCATGGCCGAGGACAGCACGTTGTTGGAGTCTAATTGCTCTTCTTCTGAGGTTACCCGATGCAAAGTTCACCTCTGTAAGTTTGACTGAAAGCAGATGTTTCCTGTTTGTTTAGACTGTCACCCAGCACATCTACTGGGATGAAGGAGGCTGCTGATGAGGATGTTCTGACGATGAGGATGTTCCGATGATGATGAAGATGTTATGATAATTATGAGGACGTTGTGATGATGAGGATGGTGTTCTGATCCACTGCTCACTGTGGGACGGGTTGGACAGGGTTGTCACACTGTGTTCTGGTTCTATTTTAAGCATCATAAAGAGACACTGTTGTTCAGCTGCAGCTGCTTCGTTTCGTTTCCTCGCTTCTCAAATGAGAAAACAGATGATCTCTTCACCATGTTGATTAGAAATATAGTCATGTTCCCATTTCCTCAGTTCTACATGTATGTTCTTAAGTTTGCCTCAACCAAAACACAGCACTTTAGATTAAAGGGACAGTTCAGGTCGTTTGAAGTGGGGTTCTGAGGAAAGGTTAAGAATATCAATGTCTTACCGGCTATAGATGTGTTTTTGGACGTTCTCAGTTTGGTGACATAAAGGCTTTATTCTTAGCAAATATTTTGACTTGAGAGAGTATTGTCAGCTCAGGTGTATTATTTAACGAGAGCTGTGTTCCACTCCTGTATCTGGCATGTTGGTATGTCAGTATAAAATGCCACCATCTCATTGAGCTGCAAGTGTTGCTTGTAACTTCAAGGTGGTTTTCCGTTCTCTTGCATGAAATTCCTTGCAGAGGCTGCGTGACATTTTTCACTCAGAACAGTTGAAGAGTTGTTGTGGGTGCCTGGTATTCTTCTCAGTTCAGTTTCTATAATTCTAGAGCACTAGAAATAAACGCTACAGCTATTGTATGTATTTTGAGACCTGCACAAGATTCTTCCCCCAACAGCTTACTCCAGAGTGGAACAAACCAGTCTGCTTGTGATTAGATGTTCCACTTTGGAGTAAGCTGTTGGGGGAAGAATCAGTTTTGTTGTGCGTTTCCTTGACTGATGAAGCCTTCCGGATCGAAGGCAAAACGTTTCAGCACAAAAAAAGAAACTGTCCAGATGACCTGACTGAAAAATGTTGGATTTTATACCTGGATTATTGAGCATGGACTCTGTTGTATCTTTACATATTTTGTAGCATTGTTTTGGGGTTTGCAAGAGGGGCCTCGACCAGAAGCTAATGCTGTTTGGGGGGCCATGGCATGGAAAAGTTTGGGAACCCCTGGACTAGATAATAAACATCAAGTTGGACAAGACGGATAAAATCTCCGTTTGTTCTCAAAGCTGTGCTCACAGATTTAGGCTGTAATTCTGAGACATTTACACAAAATGCAGCTACAAGACTTGATCGGTTGTAAGTAACCAGAATTCGTGAGTGCAACTAAAAATGTGCCTTTTTTTGCAGTTTTTTCAGTTAGTCTCCAACGGTCAGAGAAGTAAAATGCTCCTCCTCCCAGCAGAAACCTGACACTTGCAGACGGCTGGTAAACTAATTTCAGCTGTAGATGGTGAAATTGTACTTGTCATTAGCTGGTCCCTCCAATCAGAATTAAAGTTTATTTGATCAAACTGAAGCAATTTGAAGAGCTACTTAAAATAAAACAATTGCACACAACCTTTTTTTTTTTTTTCAAAAAGTCTTACTTTCAGAGATTAGAACAATCACTTTGGTCAGCCCTGGAAAACATTTGTGACTGCAAAAATACAGCTGTCCATTTTGTTGTTGTTGTTTTGTAGATGTGCAGAGTTTAGTGGGGACTGTGTAACATCTGTGCTGAGAGAGATGTTTGTGAGAATCCAGAGCAGCTGCTCATGAACAGTAATATGATTAAGTCCTGGTACCAGGGAACATCGTGGCTCAACGTTGTGCTTCATTAAATATCACAGAATACAGCCGTGATTCTTACAGTCACTGTATACTTTATGCATTTCTGCTGTTAATTTATAGACATGAGACCACACCCATCATCCATCATCTTTTAACACCCAAACATCTACAGCAATGTTCAGATGACAAAGACTGTAGTTGAGGAGATTGGCTCAATTCACATGCAAGATTATTTCTCAAAGAAGTATCATTTATTAATATCTATCTGCTTACATTCACTACAACATTTCCAGATTTTAATGTGCATAACTCTATACAGGTATTTTACAGGACACATGTAACCACTATTAGATCTAGATCTACTGTATCTGTATAATGCTTTTAAGAAGGAGCTAGAATGAGCCCAGAGATTGTGCTCCAAAGGGAACTCCATAATTTATTTAATATGTCATAAACAAATAAAAAAAATAAAGTAAACACTTTTAAAATTATGTGATGTGACTAATACAACCTCCTGGTAGCTATAAAATATTTTATTCTATATTGTTTCTCCTTTTCTGCCATTGCAACAGAAACGGTTCTCAGAAAAAAGCAGCGAACAGACATGCTGTCATGATCCATTCAATTCAGTTCAATTCAGTTTATATAGTGCCAAGTCACAACAATAAAAGCACTTTTGTAACAGCTTCTGTTTTAAATGTGCTTGATAAATAAATTTGACTTGACAACAGAAGTCATCTCTGGGCACTGTACAAAACATTCTTATAAAAACCAATTAGTAAAAGTTTTCTACCTAAGGAAGTCAGCAGATTGTGTTGAATCTTCACTTTGTCACAGTTTCCCATCCTGAGCAAGCACAAAGGCAACAGTGGAAAGGAAAAACTCCCTTTTAACAGGAAGAAACCTCCAGTAGAAGCAGGTTCAGGATGAGTGGCCATCTGCTTCATTCTTAATTGTCTTTGTGTTTATGTCGTATTTGAGACTTTTGTGATTTTTTTCAGTCATCTAAGCCTTTTTTTCAAGGTTTGTTTTTATTTTTTGCCCTTTTGGGTTTAGTTGTGTTTTCTTGGTTAAATCCTATTTTGTTTTCCAATGTTTCTTGCGCCATATTTTATTTATCCTCAGTAAGCCTCCCCAGTGTTTTTCCATTCAGCCTGCCCTCACCTGTCCCCACTCAGTGTCTCAACAGGTGTTTTTACTTCCCCTCTCATCCAGCTTGCTATTTAAATAATCTCTTGTCAACACTTCACCATCAGCTCATTGTTCTGATAATCCTCCAGATATCTCAGCCCTCCTTGTGTTTTTTCCCCTCAGCCTGTCATGCTCCTGTTCCCTTCATGTTTTAAGTTTTGCTGCCTCGTCAGCAATTTGTTTTTCTTATTAATAAACCCTTCTTTATTTCACTTCCTGCTCCCTGTGTCTGCCTACACTTGGGTCTAAACTCACCGGGCCGTGATAGTTTAAGATCAGGTTTAGTTTCCCTTTTTTGTCATTATGCTCTGTTTTCTGTATCTTCAGAATCCTGAGATTTACCTTCTTGTGTTCATCTGCCCTCAATTAGCTGTCACTTCCTCAGTTTTGTCCTGTCAAACTCGTATGTTCTCAGTCACCAGTAAACTCAGGTGCTACCACTTTCCCAGTTACCTGTGCCCTTTATATTCTGTCTCTTTTCATCTTCATGCCGGCAGTTCATTGTTTTCTTCGTACCTCAAGCTTGGTCTTCCTGGTTTGGTCCCTGGTTTGTGGGCCATCAGAGATTTTTTCCAAGGTTAATTTTGCTGCCACACTAGCTTTTGTTTGGTCCATCCAACAAGCCATGATCTTTAACCTATTGTAATTTTCGCTGTATAAGTTTTTTATGCATAAATTTATCCTGGAGCAAACGTCAAATCAGCTGCATTTTACTGCGCTGCCCAGGTGAAATGCAGCTGATTTGACCGTTAAAGTGCATTTATTAAGAAAAGGTTCAACTGAGACACACCATTACTATAATGTCGAGCAAACAAATAATTGTTTTTAAGTGCTTATCTTGTTAAATTTTGAAGAAATGCACAGCGAGTCGTCCCTCTGTGCGCTCCCGCAGCCGCGAATCGGCTTTTGAAACGCAGCTGATTTCACAGTCAAAGTGCATTTATTAAGGAAAAGTTCACACACCTTTGCCATAGTTTCAAGCAAACAAATCATTGATTTTAAGTGTTAATCTTGTTAAAATCTTGTTAAAGTCCTCCCGTGCACGCTCCTGTGGCCACCATTTGGCAGCCAATCGATTTTTGGCACAACACCGGCCACATTTCCGGGTTGTCAGCGGTGACGCATGATAGATGAGACGTGTACAGCGGCAAGTACAGTACTTCTTCCTTATCGAGTCACGGGAGCTTTTTGTTTTTTTCTTAAATATTCCCATAAATATTTTTGATTTTTGGAGCACCCTGTGTTGATTCTGCACTTGGGGTCCGATCCTTCCACAAAACTTGATATTGGCTGTATAAAACAATTAGATTTTAAAGACTGAAGAACATTAAAGAGAGAAATCATAATAATAAAAATAATGAGCAATTACAGAGCTAATAGATTAAACATTTATATATTTTAGATTTTTTTCATGTGTGTAGTCTTTCAATATTTGTGTTATCTTGTCAAAATCAAAAATATTTGTCATGAAAAATAAGTTCTGGAAATGTGCTTGCAATGCATACAAGACCCGGTCGCTCAGTCCTTTCACTGATGCAGCTGTCTGGGTGTGCTCTGAATTGAAGTGGGCCTCTAATTTTGGATACTTATCATCCGTGCATTTACAAATAATAAAATAACCTTTGCATAATGTTTCTTTGTCAAACTCGCTGGTACTAAGACCCAAGTATGCAGCCAAAGAACTAAACAAAAAGAAAATTGAATCATCATTGAAAGGAAAAAAAAGGAACAAACATAAAATGGGTGGCTGTGGCTGAGTGGTTAGAGCAGTCGTCCTCCAATGCAAGAGTTGGGGGTTCAGTTCCACTAGCAGTCAAATGCAAAAGTGTCCCTGGGCAAGACACTGAACCCCTCATTGCCTCTGATGTGTCCCATTGGTGTATGAATGTGATAAAGCTCTGATTTTTTTTCTTAGTTCATATCTTAGCTCTCATTACTGTTTTTTTTTTTAACATTTTAATACGTTTGTTGGCTGTAACTGGGACCCTGTGTACACAGTTTTGTTCCACCACATGTACCACATGTGGTGCGTACAACAAATAAAGAACCTTGAATCCTTGAATTAATCTTTGTATAGATATACAGTAGTAGAGTGCTGCATGAATGGGTAAATGAGGGCACAGATTGTAGTGTAAAGCGCTTTGAGTGTCGATAAGACAGAAAGGTGCTATATAGTTACAGTCCATTTACCATTTACAAAACAGAAAACACTCACAAACAGAACAAAAAAAACACATTTTTACCTTCTTAAGGTGTATAAATTATATTCTGTTGTAATAAGGGGAGGATTTTATAAGGAATTTTTATAAATGAAACATTTTGAAGAACGTTTAGTACACATGAATACGAAACTTGATAAAGGAACTTATTTCGGCTTGAGCCTCTCTAATTTTCAAATTCAACCTTTTTTTTTAAACACCTTTTGATTCAATCATGTCGACATATGTCCACACACATGAATATATCTTCCAAAGTATTCAGTGGTGTGGACAATAATTCCTGCTCCAGGTGGAGTCAGCAGGAGGACATTGGGCAACGATGGCACACAGAAACAATCAGCCGGGCTTTGTGGACAGAGACGAGCTGAAACAATACTGGATGTCACAGCTTGTTTTATAACACACAAACAACAAGGCTCCATCAATTATCTTAAAGCATCCATCCCTTCAGAGCATGACAGCTAAACAACAGGATAGTGTGCATGTTTATTCATCACAGATGTGTTTGTTTATGTGGCTGAAAACCCAACCCTCAGTATGTGTGTGGCGTGTTCATGCTCTGCATGTGTGCCCTCCTGCAGACAGGTGTGAAGGATGACTTCATGCTCAGAGATCTGTGGCTCAGAGTACGGGGAGCAAGCTCAGGCTGGTGGAAACTACCAGCAGTATGGAGTCCGCTCATACCTGCACAAGGTGACAGCGCAGACACACACTTTACAGATCAAACTTTGAAATTGATCGAATAGTAGCATTTGTTTTTGTTGTGTTTTTTAATTTACATTGTAAACACGTCCTGATGTTTTTCATGGCAGTTTTATGAGGAGTGCACAGGTTCGATCTGGGAACGTGACGAAGATTTTCAGATTCAGAGATCGCCGAGCAGGTGGAGCTCTTTACTCTGGAAGGTGGGATTAACTTCTTTACAACCGGCTTGTAAAAACAATACAAAACCCTTTTCGTATCACTACCCTACCAATACACACAATGGGTCAAAAACGACCCACATTAATTTTCCAGGTTACTTCATGTATGGTTGAGTGTTTCTATGATATATTTTTTAAATAAATAAACATTATCATTTACTTTTCCAAATATTCAGTAAATATCTTGTTTTTGTTTAGCACAAATCATCATTTTTATGTTTCCTTTCTTAAATTATGAACAAGAACAGCTTTTGTAATTCTACATCAAGTTTACACACATGGGTCCGAAACGACCCGTGTGCATTTACCACAGCGTTTGGTGGGAACAACTTTTTCACCAGTGTCCCTCTGGCTGAGAAGCTCCTCAAGAACAACCTGATCATTGGTTGGGACTCCGCCAGAATAAGCCTGACATACCACCATCATGAAGCAATCTAAATCAAAGGAGCTTCATAGCTCTGAATTTGGATCTCATGGCAACATGACCATGGTGAGCTATGTGCAGAAGAAGAGAAAGGCTGTTGTCCTGCTGAGCACCGTGCATGATGACAAAGCAGTGGATAACAGCAGTCCGAAGAAGAAACCAGAAGTGATCCAGTACTACAATAAAATGAAAGGAGTGGACACAATGGATCAAATGGTTAACAACTACACATGTCTGCGAAGAACAAGAAGGTGACCCATGGTTCTCTGGTACATTATGCTGGATGTTGCCATTCAGTGCCTACACCAACTTCAGTGCACAACACCCTGATCGTATGGTGGTGTGAGTAATGCACTCCAGCCATTTATCAAGGATCTGGGCAAAGAGCTTGTCATGCCACATATGACGAGGTGCATGGAGGACATCACCCAAACTCCACAAGCATATTATTGAGGCAATGGGAAAGTGTAGGTTAAAAATCCAAAACACAACCACCTCCCAGCTACAAGAGGACACAGACAGGAAGGCCAAAGGAAGAGGAAGAGGTGCTCGATCTACCCAGTTTCAAAAGACAGAAAAGCCAGCAGCTGGTGTTCCCAGTGCACCAGGCCTGCGTGCAAGGAGTACAAACACTTAGTGATCATTTGTGAGGCATGTAAAAACTGAGATGGCAGTTTGTGTTCGAGTGATGTGTTCAGTTGTGTTTTATTTTGTTTGGTCACATTTCACCAGTTTGCAGTTGTTAAACCACAGATAAAGTTCAGTTCAGTAGGTGTTATCAGTTATCAGGAGGTATGTGTGACAAAATGACTAACATGTTGCAAATACTGTATTAATTAAATAACTGTTTGTCTCCATTCACTGCTAAAGTAATTACTTGAAACTATTTTTATTAAGACGTTTAATTTTAAGTCACACTTGGATGACTTGTGCGTAATAATATAAAAAGTGTTTTTGATCATAAAGTAGGGAATAAAAAAAAATATCTGTGGTAATTAAAAACAAGATATCTAAAAAATACTTGGAATATTCAATCATAAAAAATAAAAAAAATAAAAATTCAAAAGATAAAGCAAAGAAAAACTCAATCAGCATGAAATAACTTGGAAAATGAATGTGGGTCATTTTTGACCCATGTTGTACATTAGAAGGTGTGTACATATGTTGTGCATCATGCAACTTGGTTTGTACACACTGTTTGTCTGAGGCTTACTTTCTGCTCTTCTGTTTGTCCACCTATCACAGAGTGGTGTTGGTGAGTGACAGACACAGGAGACCCTAATGAGCCACTGGCAGCAGCTTTAACATTTATTTGAATCTTGATTCCATCTGCATTTGTCATACAGCTCATATATGAAAATGTGGACATTTTGTCATCGTAGATTATCACAAAGCAAAATTCCAAATTGCTTTGGGGGCTTAGTAAATGTATTTATGTCAGACTTTGCACTCTTCAGAACTTCTTCAGATTGATTTTTTTTAGGTATTCCTGTTCTTAGATTTTTCACAGCACCACTGAGTGACTGTTCTCCTTCCTCACAGGTCTGTCTCGCGTTTGGCACCCTGATGTTGTTTGCAGGCCTCGTTGTTGTTTTGGTGGGTTATGCGACGCCAGCCAGGATTGAAGCATTTGGTGAAGATGATCTCCTGTTTGTCGACAGGTATGAGAACAGTAGAGTATGTCAATAAGAATGATTAATTATCATTAATTATTTAGTAGTTGTTAATTATTATCATCCCCCTGCTCAACAGTAGGCTTGATATTAATCCTAACGTCACATTTCTTTGTTGCTTATCATATATCTTATCAACAGTGCCTGTGTTTCAGATCTTAAATTGTCATTGTTTTAAATTATTATTATTACAACTATTGTCCTTTACTGTTATATTGTATGTTTTTATATATTTCTAAGTTCTATTCTGTATCTTGTTACTTGTTTGTTTTTATGACGTGTGCTACTGCCTTTTCTTGGCCAGGTCACACTTGAGAAAGAGGTCTTGATCTCAATGTTTTGTTTTGTTTTTTTTATCTGGTTAAATAAAGGTTTAATAATAATAAAAATACAGTAGATCCTCGATTATCGCAGGAATTACGTTCCAGAAACCACCGTTATAAGTGAAAAAAAAAAGCAAAGTAGGAACACTATATTTGTTTTAATATTTATAAATTAGCGCTTTGAGTATCTTGATAAGATAGAAAAGTGCTATATAAGTACAGTCCATTTGCCATTTACCATATATATATTAATGCTTTATAAACCCTTCCAACAGATGAGGTCAGGCAGGAATCCGCATGGACTATCATGTTTGCAGATGACATTGTGATATGGGGTTACAACAGGGAACAGGTGGAAGAAAACTTGGAGAGGTGGAAGTATGCACTTGAAAGAAGAGGAATGAAAGTCAGCTGCAGTAAGATAGAGTACATGTGTGTGAATGAGAGGGAGGCCGGTGGAACAGTGAGGCTTCAAGGAGCAGAGGTCACAAAGGTGCAAGACTTCAAGTACTTGGGGTCTACTGTCCAGGAAAATGGGGAGTGTGTAAAGAGATGAAAAAGAGAGTTCAGGTAGGATGAAGTGGATGGAGAGAAATTTCAGGAGTGATTTTTGACAAAAGGGTTTTCTGCAAATGTCAAAAGAAAAGTTTACAAGAAGTGGTGAGACCAGCTATGTTATATGGTCTGGAGACAGAGACATTGACAAAAAGATAGGAGAAAGAACTGGAAGTGGCAGAAATGAAGATGTTGAGGTTCTCCTTAGGATTGACAAGGATGAGGAATGAGATGATTAGGAATGAGATCATCATAGGTACAGCACATGTTGAACAACTGGGAGATAAAGTTAGAGAGCCAGACTGAGATGGTTTGGACATGTCCAGAGGAGGTACGGTGGGTATATTGGTAGAAGGATGTTAGAAATGCAGCTGCCAGGAAAAAGACAAAGAGGAGATATATTGACGCAGTTAGAATGGACATGGAGGTAGTTGGAGTGAGGACAGAGGATGCAGAGGACAGAGTGAGATGGAGGAGGATGACTCGCTGCGGCGACCCCTGAAAAGGGAAAAGCCAAAAGAAGAAGATAAACCCTTCCCATTCTCTTGCAATATTCTTAACAATGTTCTTAAACCTAAAAAAGTTAAATCTGGTCCTCTGGACATAAAAAAAAAACCCCAAAACAAAGCAAAACAACAAAAAAATGTAGAAACGTTTCGTCTCTCGTCCGAGAGACTTCTTCAGTCTGAGGTGCTGTTTTCAGCTCAGTCTCTTAAATAGCACCTTCTCAGAGTGGATCAACCAGTGTTGCTGCTGACAACCAAAACCAGCTGCTCACATGCTCAAGAAGGACCATCAGCCTAACAATGGATCATTAGCACACTGATGGCTGTGTACTATTCACAGAGGGCTGAGTGATACTAGCAATCACAGCATTGTAAGAGGGGGACAATTGAACACGTAGGCCTCCACCCCTGTTTAATGATGGACGGTTTCTTTTCACAAAGATGGCCTCCTTTACTCCTCTCTCAAACCATTGTTCCTCTCTGTCCAGGATGTGAACATCTTCATCCCTGAAAGAGTGACCGCTGGCCTGGAGATGAGTGTAGACCGCAGAGTCCTGGCCTGATGATGTTGATCTTCTGTGCTGGGCCATCCTTTTGGCCAGTGGCTGTTTTGTTTCCCCGATGTAAGACTGATCACAGCCCTCCTGACACTGAACAGC